TTTCCGCAAAGCTACTAAGACCTGGCTGTTCCGGCAGGCCTGGGGCAGTTAAATCTTTCAGCCCCAGCTGTGATTATGACTGTTGTGTGTTTTTAACTGTTTGTCTTTTTATTTTTATTTTGTACCCCCTTCCCTTTCTGATTGTTAGCCGCCCTGAGTCTCTCAGGAATAGGGCGGCATACAAACTGAATAAAATCTAATCTAAAATCTAAATCCTAGTGGACAACCATTTACGATAAATATAAGCCAGCGGTGCACTGCAGCTGCCAAAAAGGTCAATGCCATCTTAGGATGCATCAACAGAGGAATGGTATCAACATCAAATGAAGTATTAGTACTGCTTTATACTGCCTTAGTTAAGACCACACTTAGAATACTGTGTCCAGTTCTGGTCACACAATACAAAAAATTGCTAAGACTCTAGAGAGAGTGCAAAGAGCCACAAAGATTACGAAGGGTCTAGAGGTGAGGCACACAATGAATGGTTGAGGGAGCTAGGCAAGTTTAGTCTAATGAAGAGAAAGACTAGGGATGACAGGATAGCAGTCTTCCAATACTTGAGGGGCTTTCACTGAGAAGACGGGGTCACCCTATTATCCAAAGCACGGAGGGCAAGACGAGAAGGAATGGATCAAAGATTTTTAAAGAGAGATCCAACCTAGAATTAGGGAGAAATTTCCTACAGTGAGAACAATTAATCAATGCTTGACTCCCGGAGTTGTGGATGTTCCTTCACTGGAAGTTTTCAAGAAGAGATTGGACAGCCATTTGTCCAGAATGGTATAGGGAAAGGGACTCCTGCTCAAGCAGGGGATTGGACTAGATGACCTCCAAGGTCCTTTCCAACCCTTATGTTCTAAGCTAGCAACCATATATAGGTCCGGGAAAATACCAAGGGGTATTGGTTCAGCTTAAATTAGCCCCTAAACTCTGATGTTCCAGGTCAAATTCTAAACTTCAATATTCCAAACAAAAGAGTTGGGATTTCATTTTGAAGGCCTATCTCTAGTCAGGCAGGGAGCCTTGTATGACCACCACAGCCTTATAAAGTCTTGTCCCAAAGGAGGCTGACTGCCCTGCCTACTAATGTCTTTTGGCCAGGATCATTTGCAAGTGTTGCCATCCTACCCCCCCTCCGCCCCATCTGAAACTTTCAGACATATAATGGGGTGAAATACAGCTGATGGAATCATTTCATTATTTCAATTGCTGTACATTCAAACTATATTTAGTCCAATGGATTTTGGGACTGGCCCCATCCCCTTCTTGGGGTTTGACACAAATTCAAAGTCAACTACTGTATAACCTTCACTGCAGTTGTTACTTATTCAGATTTACCACAGTTAACACAATGGTTTAGCTAGTCAATTGTTTTTGAGTTCACCTAACACACTGATCTATAAATCAGAGATACTTTCTCCCAATAATCTATGCAAAATTTTTGATTCATTCGAGGCTGCATGTCTCTAAGATACAGAACTATTTTATTCCACCCATTCCTGGGGTCATTAACCAGGGGAGATGGGGAGGAGTATTTCTAAACCTGTCTTGCAGAGTAGGAGCAAATGTCACGGCCTGCTTTGCCTGAGAAAGTCCCAGGAGGCATTTGAGTAGCACAAAGTTTGAAAACCTTCATAATAGATTAAAAAATCATTAATCAACATGTATGTTTATTTCTTGCCCAACCTAAGCTCAGTGAAATAATTTGCTTATTGAAAAGAGCCTTGCAATTTCTTTGTTGTTCATTGTTCAAAATTTGAGAACCTCTCTTCCCTAAACGCCCCCACCCCACAGACCTGACTGGGGGCTTTAGCTGAACAGCACTGAGATGCTATGTTATATTTTAGTCATTTACAATTCTGTACAATTAGAGAAGCATGGAAGAAACCACAAGGATTCAGGTCCAGGGTGAATCCACATGAGAAAAATGTTTCCAGCACCATCAGAAAAACCCCATTCTCCTTCTCAAGGGAAATTATGACATTGGGAGGTGGGAACATTACAAGGAGCATAACGTTCCTCTCTCATTAGCTATGGTCTTCAGACTTGTGATTTGGCCAACTCTCTCTTTTGCCTCCCCAGAGTTTATCGAGAGATTCCTGCCTCGAGAACTCCAGATTGTCAAGCGCCTAGACCACAAGAACATCATCCGGGTGTATGAAATGCTGGAGTCCACAGATGGAAAGATCTATCTAGTGATGGAGCTGGCAGAGAATGGCGATGTCTTCGACTGCGTCCTGCAAGGAGGACCCCTGCCGGAGAGCCGGGCCAAAGCGCTCTTCCGTCAGCTGGTAGAAGCCATCCGTTATTGCCATAGCTGTGGGGTGGCGCATCGTGACCTCAAGTGTGAAAATGCCCTCCTGCAGGGGCTCAACCTGAAGCTGACAGACTTTGGATTTGCCAAATTGCTCCCCAAGAACCGCAAGGAGCTGAGCCAGACCTTCTGTGGCAGCACGGCCTACGCGGCCCCCGAGGTGCTGCAGGGGGTGCCCCATGACAGCAGGAAAGGCGACGTGTGGAGCATGGGCGTGGTCCTTTACGTCATGCTTTGTGCCAACCTGCCCTTTGACGACACGGACATTCCCAAGATGCTTTGCCATCAACAGAAAGGGGTGTCCATCCCCGGCCACTTGGGGATCTCCGAGGAATGCCAGGACCTTCTCAAAAGCCTCCTGGAACCAGACATGATCCTGAGGCCTTCCATCGAAGAAGTGAGTTGGCACCCATGGTTAGCAAGTTCCTGAGGACAGGACCATGTCAAAACTCTCCCCAAATAAAAGGGGACAGGCTGTTTCCAAAATGCTCACATATATTTTAACGTTATGCTCAGTTTCTAGTCTATCCTTAATCCACCGAGAAGGAAGGCATTTTATATATTCCCCTCTCATCAGGAACTGCATTCCCTTGTTCAAAGATGCCTGCAAAAGTGGTTACAAATAAGTCAAAAGGCCAAGAAAAGTAGAGTGAAGGTGTCTCACCCTAACCCTGGCTGGAATTTCTTTCTCAGACACACAGAATCACTTTGAAATGTTAAATCTAAGAAACCTCCCCTAGGATTCAAGGCTGTAGATCTCCTCCCTGGCTGTTCTTCAATAGCCTGCCATCCATTGGTCTCCAGGATATCCTAATTGAAAAAGGGAAGGAGGTGCCATTATGCACCAAGCCAAACTTCTTGATCCAACCAGCACTGTAATTCAAATGAGCTGGCAGAAACACCATTTCCAACCTGGTGCCTTCTGGATAGGTCAAAATAGCAATAGCAATAGCAGTTAGACTTATATACCGCTTCATAGGGCTTTCAGCCCTCTCTAAGCGGTTTACAGAGTCAGCATATTGCCCC